CTGAGACTGCACCATTGCACTCCAGCCTGGGCAACAGAGTGAGACTCCATCTCAAAAAAAAAAAAAAAAAAAGCATCTGTGAAACAGAGTGCTATGAAAAATGAACAAACAGAAAGACTTCACAAATTAAAAATATAGCAACAGAAATGTTTAAATCCATAAGATAAAACAGAGAACCTCCGAGAAAGCAAAATTTTAAAACACGAAATGGGGGAAAAAAATCAAGAAACACGTAAGAAAATTAGAGACTTAATACAAGAAGTCCAATATCTGAATAACAAGAGTTTAAAAAAAATACGGAATAGATAAAACATTGTAATGGAAAGTATCAAAAAAGTAATACAAGTCAACTTCTCCAAAGTGAAGGTACTAGTTGCCAGCTTTAAAGAGCTGCCCCGTGTCCAGATTCATATGAGAAGACACATCACTGTGAAATTTCAGGCTACTGAAAATAAAATAATGATCTTTATAAGCTTCTAATGAACAACAACAACAACAACAAAAACAAAACAGGGAAAGAGGTCATATAATACAAAGGATTGGGAATCAGAACAGAGTGGCTATTTTGGCAGGAATACTTAGATGTTAGCAGAGAATGCATGAGAGATACCAAAGATTCTATACTCAGTTAAACCATCAAATGAATGTAAGTGTATGATAAAGACATTTTCAAATACGTCCAAAAACTCTTCTCCTATGGGTCCTTACTTAGGAGGCTATGCAAGGATACGCTTCAGGAAAATGAAAGAGTGCACCAAAAAAGACGACACGAGATTCAGCAAACAGAGAATCAATACAGGAGAGATGTAAAGGAAATTATCAGGACGATGGGAAGGGGAAATAGCAAGTATCAGCAATGCAACAGAGGCCTGGAAAACAAGTGTCCAGAGTGGACTAGCGTCCAGAGGGAAGAATCCATGACATGAACTAGCAAGTTATCGGTGTGTTTCAGTATAGCTAGGAGACTTATTCTTCTGTCAGAGCATGTGAGAACACACTGAAAGCAAACAAACAAAAAAGACAGTCTTTAACGACATAAGCGAAAAAAATGGGCAAGAAAGGAAATATGATCGTCACGCATTAGCCTCAGCTACGAATACTATTTATACAGTCATAATAAATGTAAATATTAAAAGTGGATCGAACCAAACACTGTGATACAAACATACAAGAACATGGGGAGAGTGTGTGGAGTGGCAATCCAGGGGGAGGAGTCATGACAGCAAAGCAGTCCTTATATTCCATACTCGGAAATCAACAAAACTGAAGAACTAAAAAGCAGCAATATATACAGTATTTTAAAACATGGATGTCAACATTAGAAGAAACAGATAAAGCTGAAAGTAATTATCTCTGAAGAAGGGTGGACTCTGAAATAGTGATTTTAAAAACTATGTACCTGTATTGCCTTTGATAAAAAATAAAAATTAAATCCAAAATAAAAATAATTTAATTTTTAGTATGAAGGTCAATACTGATTAGTGAAAACAACTGACATAAAAGGTGTAAGTTGGCTACTTTTCTTTCTCTCCCACTAATGGTAATTTACTCTGCTCTCTGATTCCCTTTTCTTGTTTACCTGGGCTTTTTGGTGGGGGGTGCGCCATCACTGAAGAATCCAAAAATCTCGTCTATATCAGAGGCCTGGCTCCCTGTAGAAGCCATCCAGTTTCTAAAATAGATTAAACACCATGGACCACAATTAGATCTGTAAAATACACCATTCAAAATAGCACATACATTAAACAGTTTTAAAAAGCTGTATACCCTTAAAGGTGCTTTGGAGGTACCCCCTACTTAACAGAAATTTGTTAATTAATGAACATTCCAAACAAGGAACTCAATTAAATTAGTCTAAAAGACTATTTGGTGTTCCATACTACCATCTTGCTTCTGTTTCTGAAGGCCTGCCCCCAAGTTCCCACCAAAAACAGTGTCAACTCATGTCAATTACTGGCCCTCACTTTGTAGAACTTAAGAAAAACCAGTTATTCTTCCACAAGATGGGTTTGCGGAAGACTCAGGATAAAAACCACCCACAGATAAGTGTATTAATAGCCCCCAATTATCCATTTACTCTCAGCTGAAGAAATTACTGAGTCAAGAATAGGACAATCAATACTAATTTGCTGAATGACATTCTCTGTTGTTGGACAATGGTGACCTCGTAGCCAGTGGGACATGTCTCTCTAACTGAACATGAAGTGGACTTAAATCAAGCCACTGTGATAACTGGTAAAGGTATTATCAAGCAGATGTATGAAAAATGGCCAATTATGATCGGGCGCTGGAATAACTGGCAAAAGTAAGTAATTACCACAGATTAGAATGAATACTATAAAGTTCTAACTGCTCAAACTTCAGCAAACTAATTAAATCTAAAGGCTGTGAATTTAAAAATAGCAATAGTATTTTAAATACACACACAATATAGAAGACAACATACTACCACCGTTTGGGGTGTTTTAGAGTACATGCCATTGCCAACACATAGAACTGAATTACTAATAATTACTGGAAGTTTACGGTTTTGTTAGAAAGTCCTTTTCTTTTCTTTTTTTGAGACTGCGTCTTGCTCTGTTGTCCAGGCTGCAGTACGGTGGTGCCATCTTGGCTCACTGCAGTCTCAGCTTCCTGGGCTCAAGCCATCAACCAACCTCAGCCTCTCCAGTACCTGGGACTACAGGCACGTGCTACCACATCTGGTGAAATTTTGTATTGTTTGTAGAGAGGGAGTTTTGCCATGTTGCCCAGCTGGTCTCTAACTCTGGAGTTCAAGTAATCTTCCAGCCTTGGCCTCCCAAAATGTTGGGGTTACAGGCATGAGCCACTGCATCCGGCCCAAAAAAGCCTTTTTCTTTATTAAAACATTAAGTTTCTCAATTAATTTTTTGTGGTAAACAGAAGGCTCACTTCCTCACCCCATAGTCCATCACACATAGGAATTCTTCTTTAATATCATAATCATAAGGAAAATAGAAACAATAAAATCATAGTAGTGAGTTAGAAAGTAGATCATGTTTCTAGTCAAATCTTTTGATTCTGTTGATGAGAAAGCTGGAGCTCAGGAGAAGACGGATGAGTCACTAATCTCAGTAAATCCTGCCTTAACTCAACCATGTGGGTTTTTTCTTTTTCTTTTTTTTGAGACGGAGTTTCGCTCTTGTTGCCCAGTCTGGAGTGCAATGGCGCAATCTCGGCTCACTGCAACCTCTGCCTCCTGGCAGTTGCTCCCTTCAAGCGATTCTCCTGCCTCAGCCTCCCGAGTAGCTGGGATTACAGGCATGCGCCACTATGCCCGGCTAATTTTGTATTTTTTGTAGAGACAGGGTTTCTCCATCTTGATAAGGCTGGTCTCAAACTCCTGACCTCAGGTGATCTGCCCGCCTCAGCCTCCCAAAGTGCTGGGATTACAGGCGTGAGCCATCACGCCCAGCCAGGATGTTAGTTAAAAGTATGTATGTTCTTGAAAATAAAGTTAATTAATTAAAAAAAAAAGTTTGTTTCTAGGCTCTACTCCAAAATTACAGAATGAGATTCTCCAGAATCTTCAGAATCTTCCTTCAAACAGGAAACACCTAAATAAGAAGCAAACTTAATTTTTCTACAATGCAACAATTTTGTTAAATATAGTATGCACATGAGGTATACCATCAAGCCATCTTTCCTTAAGCGTAATAACTTATTACAGTCTAATGACTTCCCAGTTTGCTTATACCAATAGCCAGGTTTTAACTGTCCTTAAAATATTTTTATGAAGTTTTAATTCATGTGAATCACTTCCGATTCTAAAAGTTAACGCTCTAGAATGGTGAACTAGGGATAGAATGTTTTTACTTCTTCCACACACACGACAACCCATCCGTTTGGGATATACACAAGGAAAAAACTTAGGTGCTTAAGTTCTTTTCTTAAATATGGTTCTACAAACCCATCATCTAAACAGATTACATCCAAGTAAAAACACTATATTGAGAGAGATGAAAGTAAAATGTAGAGGGAATAATGCTTATTAAGTTTTGAAGATGGATATCTTCAGAATTCAATGCTCAATTCAGTTACTAAACCAGTTTACAAGCTCTTAACTACGTGCTATGGACTACTTATAAACATTAACTCATTAATCTGCATAACACTACGAGGCACTATTGTTACCTTATTTTACAGACAAGAAAACTGAGGCACAGAAAGATCGGGTACGTGCTAGTACCAGTATTCAAACCATGGCAACTCTGCCTCCCAAGTCCAAGTTCTTAACTACACTATTGCTAAACAGGAAATGCTCATTGGAACATTTCAGATTTCAGATTTTTTGGATTAGGGATGCTCAACCGTTAAGTATAATGCAAATATTCCCCAAAAAAACCAGAAATCCAAAACACTTCTTTCTGGTTACAAGCATTTCAGATAAGGAATAATTAACCTGTATTAACTTTTCAGCCTTAAAAAAAAAAAAAAAAAGAAACTTAAAGTCCAAAACTATCAACAAAGGAAGTGCCTGCATTCTAGAAAGCAGATTTACCTGAAACAATCCCAAGTAATCCTTAATAGCTGCTTCGTAACTAGGCACTCCATTCATGCAATCTTGGCAGTCAACTACATTCGGAAGCTGGGAAAACTACTTTCTCCAATAACAAGCACTATTTGTTATATACTTCTCACCACCATTTATCCACCAGAGCCTACATCTGTCCTACCATTTTCTCCTGGAAATTAAGTAAGATCGTTTTTGCTGGATTCTATTTCTGCCAGATGGTCAATTCATGACATCTAGACCTGAATACTAAGCTTTCTGACTTATTTCTTTACACAGTCAACTTTTCTGAAGGTCCATTCCATCTATTACTTTAAAAAATTAAATACAGCCAATCGCTTCTGACTGAGAATGTTTAGGGTCTTATTTAGGTACTGAATGAGACGTAGCTCAGTATGCCTACATTATATCCAATCATATACTCATCCTGTTTTCTAACAGAGAAACATCTTTTCTTTAGCCTAAAGGATGCCTCACATGATACAATGTCACATGTATACCCCAGTGGCATATAAGCATAAACCATACTTTATTCCTTCTAGAGTAGTGTTTTCAGGGGAAAAAAAAATCAATTTTAGCATGTACCCTAAACAATATGCAGTTCTTGCTAAAGAGTTTCAAAGCTAACTTCCCAATATACATCAACTAGTTCACACTTTAATTTTTTTTATGTGATCATGGTTTGAGTTTTCATTTTTGTGGGACTTGCTATGTATAGCAAAAGTGGAAAATGTTTTTCTGTCACAGGAAAACAAAAGTCAATTACCTGCGGCAGTGTCCTCATTACCTTAATCACTGCTAAGCCACTGAGAAATCCTTCAAGGCCAATAGAGTACAGCAAAATAAAAGTCAGATACTTGGTAAAAGCTGAGAAAAGTAACAGCAACCTCATTAGTGGAAATGTTAAGGCTGAAGTCTTCATATGAGACAGAACACTTGTACTCTGAAACCTGTCAGCTTGGCAGGAAATATAATGCTTCTCTCTCTGGTGGATGAAAAAAGGAAAAGGGCGAGTGTTCTAGAAAAAATCCGGAAGAAACATAGTAAAGGGACAAGAGAAAAGGAACTGGTTATCCAAATGAAATTAAGTTTGCACACAGCAGAGGACCTGTGGACTTGAAAACATCAAAGAATCCCAGCAGCTCTCGTTTTCATAGCATCTTGGTGCTAAAAAGATAGCAAGCGCTAGGCTTCCCCTCACTTGAGAATCAGAGTGAGGTCTCCCAGCCCGCCTTCCTCATTCTGAGCTATGTTTCTCCTGTATGTCCAGTGCATAGTCCTCAACTCAAACAAGTGACATGCCAGAAGGAGCTCAGAGTAATACACTTGGGTATATTAGCAGACAAAATAAATCAAATGGAGAGAGAAATTCTAATGTTTTAAAAAGTATTCTTGCCTGGAAATAAAAGATATACAATTACCAGCTTGAGAAAGTGGTACGTTTCTTGCTGTAAAAGGATCAGAAAGCTTCCTCCACTGCTTTTTAAAAAATAAAACTGACTGGAATAAAGAATGGTTTACTTCTCTAGCATAAACATAGCAAAGGGGTGACTGGAATAAAGAATGGTTTATTTCTCCAGCATAAACATAGCAAAGGGTTAACTTCATTTCTTAAGGGAAAAGAGTCATCCTCTGACTTGAGAAGAAACCAAACCTTTCTAATTGTGGCT